CGCGGTGGGGGGCGCTGCCGGCGCCCCGGGAGAGCGCGGGAACGGGGCCCGGCCTCCACCGGGGCAGCTGCTGCTGCAGGGGACTGGGCTTGTGCGCGTTGACAGGGACACAGCGAGATCCCGTCCCACGGCGTCCGCAGTTTGCAGCACTGCACGAGGTCTGAGACCCAGGGTCGGAGCCAGGCGGGAAAGCCCTCTGCTTTCTTTTTCTTCAGCCAGAGACAAACACACCAAAAAAAAAAAAACCAAAAAACCACCACCCTGCTACAGTGCCACACAAAGACTGCGGGTGCGGGGCTCAGCGACACGAAACACTCCCAGGACAGGCCTGGCTCGGCCACCTTGGTCTCCTGCGGTCAAGGCTGCCGCTTCGTGCAGTAGAACTTGTGCCTTCTTCACAAGTTTCAAGGCGTATGTATTGAAATAAAACAAAACATGTCCAATCACTTTAACACGTACCCATCATTAAGGCATATGTTTTGCAAGGATTTTTCTTCAAAAAACAAAATATATCTCTTTTTCATCATTTCCAGCATTCACTTCATGCTGTTTTATGACCTCTTCATCTTTGCAGCTGCAGCCAGCGCTCGGAGAACAAAGAACCCCCACCACTCTCAACCCAGCAGCCTGGTGGGAGCAGCGATACTGCTTGATTTCCATACGCCACATCTTGATAGCTAGTGATCCTTTAGGAAGTGCAAACGAACTTCAAGAGAGCCGCGTTTCCTTGCCATACAGCTTGGCGACTGCCCCGTCTCAATACAAACATCAAATTAATCTTGCAAACGTTTGAAGAACCCGAGAACTGACTTAACACTTGAAACCCGCAGGGGGCAAAGGCAGGACTGACACGTGCTTCCTCCCTCCCAGCAGCAGCATCACCGTGCCCGAGGACAGAGCTACTCCACGTTGAGCTTTGTTTTTATGTTCATGGCTGCCAGCTCCGCCACAAAATAACGGAAGACATGGGGCACAGGGACAACCTCGATCGTGTCCACCTCGCTGCAGACAGAGCAGGAGTACCTCCTGTTGCTTGTCACAGAGGAGGAGTGTGGCGGTTTCTCCAGCACAGGAGACGTCATGCTGCCGCAGCTCATGCAAACATAGGCTATGGAGCCATCGGAGCAGTTGAACAGGCGGTCTTGCAGCAAGAAAGACGTGCCGTGAGCCAGCAAAGCGTCACGCTCCATCTCGCCGAAGCGAATCCCACCTTCCACGTTCCTCCCCTTGACGGGCTGGTTGGTGACAGCGTCTCGGGGCCCCGTTGTCCTCACCTGGAACTTGTCCGAGACCATGTGGCGCAGGCGCTGATAGTACACCACTCCCACAAAGATCTCCGCCTCCAGCTCCAGGCCGCTGATGCCACTGTACATCTTTTCTGTCCCAAAGAAGTTATAACCTGCGCTCACTAAAGTCTCACCGAAGTATTTCAAAGCAGAGTTCTTCTCCGTGAAGGTGAAGGGAGTGGCGTCGTAGGAGACGCCGTGCAGCGCTGCCGACTTCCCCGCCATGCTCTCGATTAACATCCCAATGGTCATACGGGAGGGAAAGCCGTGAGGGTTGAAGAGGATGTCTGGAACCATCCCGTTCTCTGTGAACGGCATATCCTCAACTGGCCAGAGCTGGCTCAGGATACCTTTCTGTCCGTGACGGCTGGCAAATTTGTCTCCGACAGTTGGATTTCGGGGAACCCTCACAGTGATGCAAGCCTTCTTGAATTTCCCAGTGCCACGGTCATTACTGCATAACCTGACGTTGTCTACAATGCCGACTTCCTTATTCCTGTGTAGGTGGAAAAACAATGACAGCAAAGGTGTCAGGTGTGCTAATGATTTTTAGCTAGGAAAGGGAAACAAAGGGAAAAAACCAAACCACTTAATAAGTCTCATAAAATGCCGTGGGACAGCTGGGGAACAACACCGTTCTTGAAAAGTACTATTCAGTAGCAAGGGAAATCAGTCTGCGTAAGAATTAGGGCAAGGAAGCAATACAATGGCATCACACAAGTGCCATTCATTTGCTTTTTCTAATACTGGAAGCACAGCCACAACTTTCAGGTGATCAGGTAATGTGCCGCCCCTGATTTAAAATAAAGATCATTTAAACCTAGTTTGTCTGTATCGCGCTTTATCTGACAAACTGCATCCCAGTGCCATTTGTTTTGTGTTAAGGCAGCAGCCCCTCTCCCTACCCCCAACAAATTCACACCATCTTGGTGGGATACCACAATAAAGAACCGGGTTCAGTGCAAAGCAGAGAGGAAAGTTCAGAGCAGAAAGGGAAGGCACCGTGTGAGCTGAGAGGGCTTTGCCAACAAGCGCCTTGTTCAGGTCTCCAGATGAACCCTCAGCCTGACGTTCCGCGTGCTAGGTGTCTGCTGCAGGCTTAACTTGTTATAGAGCTTTCAGCCCAAACTCTCCACTTGTTTTGGAGACAACAGCTAAGGAATAAATACATTTTGTCCCATATTAAGACAAGGTTACTTTTCTTCTTCTCCTTTGAAGTCCTAAAGAACACAGTGTTTGCGGAGTACCTAAGTTTAGCTTCTGTTTCAAAGTTATTATTTTGCAGTGTCCAATGCAACCAGGATACAGGCCATCACAAAAAAAAAAAAAAAAAAAAAAAGGAAAACCGTGCTTCATAAGCCTCTTCCAAGCTTGTTCAAACTTTTGAAGTCAAAGCCTCTGTCCTCCCTCTCTTCCAAGCCATGCATAAGATCTAGCAGCATATGCAGCGCTTAAGACAACAGGGAGAACTCCCCCTTAAGGGCCCCAGGACTCTGGGGCAAATTGCGGGCAGGAGTCAACACTGAGAGCTGGGAACCTCATCACTCTATAGGAACCTAAATAATTACCTGATTTGGACCAAGAATGAACAAAAGCTGAATGGTACAGAGGTAAAACGGCTCTCTGGATAAGGAACCTGAACTAAGGCCAGGCTGGCATGAGAGAGCTGGGGAGCAGGAGCGCGGGGTGGGACAGCCAGAGAGGGCTCCACAAGTGCAAGGACGAGGCTGAGCTTACAGATGCCCACTACCACGCGCCAAATCTCTTAGCCCTGCTCTACGACCAGGATGACTAATTCTACAAGTCCACAGCAGTCTCCCCAGTGCAACTAAGGCACCATCTGTTACAGACTAATAAACAATAGCTTCCCCAGTAATGCCAGCTACTGTGTTACCCAAGTGCTTCTCAAACTAATTCGCCTTCACAATGTGAATAACTACACAGCATTATCCGCACTCTATCAATGCTGTAGAGAGACACAGGTAAGGCCTGAAGTTGTACGGACAACTGGGAGTGCAGGACGCATTTAAATATATCAGTTTTTGTCGATGTTTTTGCTTCCCTCTCCTGAAAGAATTAAGAGGATTTTAATGAAATCCTCAGCAGCCTTCTCTCTTTCAACTGAAGTTCAAAAATCTTACAAAACTTATCCCCGAAATATTCCAGGGGGAGGGAGGGGTGTAGTTGACGCATTTTAATATTCTAGCAGTTTGGAAGCTGCATTGTTAATAAAAATGCTCTTTGAACCCCTAATCCTGTAACAACTTTGCTTACAAGGTTTTCTGGCAAGTCTCTGGGACCAGGCACTTTGTCTTGGTTTTCTGTTTGGTGTTCCTTTGGGTTTTTTTAGACAGAACGCCTTGCGAGTGTTAATTGCAAGTCAATTAACAAAAAGCTACAGAAAACTACTGTGGGAATGGGCAGAGGAACAGTCCTTGGGAGAGAACAAAACATTTCTGCAAGCTCGCTCTTTTTACCGGCCTCAGATTCTCCTCCTGGGATAAGTCAGGCTCTGCAGCATACACTGGCTTAGAGAAAAGCCATGATACACACATGGGAGCCACCTACAACATGAGCTTCATGCTCTCTCTGTCAAGACACGGACACTATCACATGAGGAGAAAAGGAAACACCTGGAGGAAAAGATACTGCAACTCATCAGGGCCAACCGCTCTCAGACTGCTCACCACCAGGTGTGGAGGAG